TGGTAATTCATTTTATTTTTTTTTTTTTAAGTATTACCTGAAGTACATAGTTAATACTAGGTTTTGTACCAAAAAAGTTATTTAGTACCTCTACACAGTACAGACCAGAAAGTGAACGTTGATAAATACAAACAGTAGCACATAAGGGGAAACACCCTCCAAACAGCATAAAACAGCATCAGCTTTTGGCCACTTTAGCTGCTGATGTGTGTAGGGAAAGTCACTGCTGGTAGCACAGGAGGCATGCAGGCAGGTGAAATCACCCTAAAACTGTACAGCTTAAAATGGATGTGACTGAAAAACAGATTAATTCATGAAGTAATGGGCAGAATTGAAAACACAAAAAATTTGAGTATTCACTCCTTCTAATAACCTGCATGGGAAGGTACCTCGTGAAAGGATGAGAGATTTAAATTAAGCAAGAGGAATTACTTTCTAGAATAACACACAATTTAACAGAACTCATGGCTGTAGAAATACAAATACATTTAAAATATGACTAAATTAACGGGAGAGCTGTCTATAATGCTTTTCTTGAAGTCCAGCATTAAAGGAGACATAAAGGCTATGAAAGCAGAACAAGACAGCTGGAGCCTGATGGATTATTAAAGGCAAATGTGACCAATCCCTTTAAATGTATCTGTCACAAAGTTCTGCCTGATGTAAAATTTTGGCTGGCACAGCTGGTGACTGCAGGTAATCAACATTTTTTAATTACATAAAACAATGCTTTGGAAAAAAAAGCAACAAACTAGAACAGAAGCCTAAAATAAGAATCCAGACATTTAGAGATGAAGTCATGTGAGGCTTACACGAGGAATTTCCATCTGCTACCATTAAGGTGGCTGTCAGTTATCTATGCTTTTTCTGCTGCTATTAACACACAGGCCAAAGAGTGTACCAGGTATCCTCACAAGACAGCTGGTTACTGACACTGAAAATAGCCAGAATGTGTGGTCAAAACAAATCATTTTGCAAGCAACTAAAGGCATAAAGTAAGCAGAGAAAAAGCAGAAACCCTTACTTAAGCTCTCTTTATCCTTCTACTCTTACCGTTATGGACTTTTTTCTGAGGCTGCCTGTATTCACCAGATGCTGGATACCAGTGCAGCATCACCTGACAGCGTGCTTTCTCCATCCCTCTCAATGGGACAGACCCCAGTGAAATAGAGCAGTAGAGTCATGCCTTCCTGGGGAGAAGATTCACCATTCAAACCACCAACTCCTGCTCACATAAAACAACACTGGTTCTAGCATTCAGTCTAGCTCTAGGAGTACAGCCAAGTAATGTTCTCTGGCTTCCACCGCACTGAGTGTCCTTATATCATGTCTGAGCTAAGGTCTCCATACTCTCCAAGACAGAGGAAAATTATACATGTGCCCTCCTATCAGACTTGGGCTATAGAAGAGTGACTAAACAGCTGAAATCATTCTTTGAAAATTTATTCTGATTTGTAACAAATTATAACATTGTTACATAACAGTGGTCTGATTAAATCCCAGAAGTGGGATTTATTCAGCACCCTGAACCTCCAGGTATCTGCAGCCTGGGATCACACAAAGCTGCTGTGAAGTTGTATTATAATTTAGCTAACCTTAGAGAGCTACCAGCACAGTATAGGATTAAACTTCAGCTTCAGTTCTGAAAACAGTTCCTGTCTTTGTGGCAGTTGTACAAAACCCTTGCAGCCAAATTCACCCAAGCCATCTGAGACGGCTGAAATTCAGCACTGCAATCTCCCCCCAGCTTGGCCCAATCTGAAATATTCTGGGTAGGCTTGGAAACTTTTCAAAAAGAAAAGAAAAAGAACACACTTCAGCTGCTGAGAATCCCACCAGCATGCTATATTTCTATTCTGGAAAGGCAGGGAAAAAAATACTGAAACAAACCAGAAACATCTCTGATGTTACAAATGGGTGGTATAAACTTACTAGATGATTGTTCCAGTTAAATCTTTTGAAATATGCAGAGCCAGGTCCCCTACAGGTGGAGGATAAACTGTCTCTCCATTTTACCAGTGTTTATTTCAGTTCCAACAGAAAATCAGCAAGCTGGTACAAAAACCTGACATACAACTCTGGCTCCCGCAAGAGCATTCCTTGTACAATTCTGCGTATGCTAGTCATTAAGTTCTCTGGAGTTGAGTAGACTACATCAGAGAATACACTCAACCATCACAAGCTGATCTGTACCTGCAGAGACCCAAACCAAATCCTCAGGCAGCATCTCTATCCAGCTGGTGATTCTTACTTCCAACAAATCCAGCTCTCCAGATAGAGTGCCTAGAGGCTTGGCAGTTATCTTGTCCATCATACACACACATACTGAAAAGAGATTGAAGAAAGAGCAGAAGAGTCACAATGACACATGGAGATCACTGCAGGAATCCACAGATAGTAATGGTATGGGGTTTTGTTAGCAATTTTACATGCGTGCATACTGGAGCACGCTGCGATACTCTGTCTGCCAGGGCAGGAGCAGCATTTCTGGCAACAGCCAACAGTCTTAGTACTTCCAACACAGGGAGAAGCCTGCACATATTAATTGTATTATTTATTGCTCTTTGGACAAAAAAGCATAGCATAAAGGCACCCTCAAGGATTTTGAACTCTCATTGATGAGCAGAGTTACACTGCTAGTTTGACTTGGGCCTGGAGACTTCTGCTGCATGAGGAAGGGAAAAAAAAACCCAACCAACCCAAACCATACAGCAATACAAACCCACCAACCTTTTCTTACACATCACACCTCTAATGAAAAGATCACTTAAAGATTAACTCTCAGCAAAAGAATCCAGAACTTTGCACCTTCTAGCATAGTGGACATAGCAACATTTCTCCATAGGCTTATCTCAAACAGGGAAAAGAAAAAGAAAGGAGAATAGAAGTAACAAGGGCTCTGTGAAAGACTCTGGTTTGCCGTTACGCTGTAGCTTATTTTCAGTAGGACTTTCTGATGGACTTTGTGCTGTGCTTTTAACATTCATTTTCAGAATCACAGGGCAGCAACTTTTCTCCAGCAAACACAAGATACTAGTTTGCAATATGACCACCCCTTATTTATACATATTTCATTGTAATACCTGTCTATTGTGTCTTCTACCAAAATATGCAGCTAAGTATACCAAGTAGATTGTCCTAAATCAGGACACCTATAAAAAAATCCCAAACAATTAATGTCTTCTCTGTGGCAATATTCACACAACCACAAATTCACATGCTAGTAAGCCACCTTCATTCACAAATCCAAGCACAGATGGTCTACAAATTTGGGATACATTTTTTCCACTGACCTACTTGCAGCAGGACTGAAGCAGCTCAGATGACATGACTTGCTGCATCATTTTTTTCACTCTAATTGTAACTGTGTCACACACTTACAACGGCAGTGAGTCCTTAATATAGCAGTGGGTAAACGAAAATCACACAGAATAACTTGCACAAGACAGCAGATGCATATGCCTCAGAGACAGCTTACTCACGTTTTCACAAGTGCTCTCAAGAACATTCCAGGCAGTCTTACATTCCTGCATAAGCCTCTTAGAGCATCAGTTACCCCTTGAACATTCGATGATAATCCTAATTTAAAGAACTGGGACTCTTCAGATGTAAACATTTGCGTTTGCAAAGGGTTACTAACCAAGCAATACAGTACTCCTTATTTCACAATTAAATAAGTTCAGCACATTATGCTTACAGTTACTATAAATAATGGGGGGGAATGAAGAGCTGCTCAGAGTAACTGTTATTTTCTGTGATGCTATGTCCCCAGTCAAGCCTCTGACACCCCTGCTTTAGGAACACAGATGATCCAAACCAACCAACCAAAAAAACCACAACCTAAAACAATCTTAAGAAGAGCCACCTCCCTTACTGTTTCTTATCATCACAACAGCCCAGTGTTTAATAAAAAGGAACAGTGTACACCACCATGCAATGTTACCCCACAATGGGGGGTCTGAATTAGCTGATAATGCTTACAGCAGCCCAGAATTCATTAGGATCTGTCAGGAGACCCTAAGGCTGTCTTTCAGCATCAGCTCAGCCAAGAACTGCAGTCTTCCTTCTGTCCTTCCCAGCTGGGACACAGTAGCTCTGCACTTCTTCCTTTGCATCATCTTCCTAGCTTGTTCAGGTAACCTCTTCTTTTTTCCACAGCTTCTTCACCTCCCTCATTTCCTCCCACCAATTCTCTGCTTTCTTCAACCTAAACACAGAGTTAAGAACATCTACTGGAGTGCCTCTGCAGAGGGCTCACTACACACTACAGAGCAGAGCTGGTGTGGTACAATGCTCGTAGAGCCCACACTCTGCACTGCGGCTCTTCTGGCATGGGACAGCAATGAACAGTCACTTGTGCAGAACTTGCTGCTGCAACCCTGCTCTGCTGTCACAGATTTCTTGTCATCTCCTGGAGTGATCGAGGGTCACAAAGAAAAACTGACACCTTGATCTTGTAAAGGAAGCCCAAAGCCAAGCTCAGTCAAAAACACTTTTGCCAGATGAACTTTATTTAGAAATATACAAACTTCAGAATTAACGTGCTGAAAAGCACAAGGACCACAGGCCCCAAACACAGATCATCACCTCTTAGACAAGTATTACAAGGACAATTGTTGCCAATGTTATGAACACTTCCCCTTTTTAAAGGGGGAACACAGCAGAACATGAACTCCATGTGGCAAGTTCTGGAGGATCTTGTATTCCCCAACATTAGACAAGCTTCCGGCTATAATAAGAGTTTTGCTGTGAAGTGTCCAGAGCTTTTGGCCCAGCACGGCACTGCTTTATTGTGACAGTCCTCAACTAACAGATTCAATGATCATCAGGAATATAAACCATCCTTCCATGGAAGCTAACATTATCTCCTCCAGATGGGAGTAGAAATGCTTTGAAAGGAACATGTAAAAACTGGGGGGGGGGGGGAGATAAAATATACAGATCTCATCAATGACACCACAAAGGCAACAGTCTCAATATCCTATGTTAGAATTAGCTAATTTCTAGCTCTCCTTTCTATTACCAACTAAAGGTGAACTCCTATCAGGGAGCCCTATTTCCCATTCAATCCTGAAACTGTCATAGTACAGTGAGTTGTACTGTCCCTCACCCTCCCATTCATGTCTTCTGAACTTAATTCAGAAGCACCTCTAGTTATACAGATCAGCTTACATCACTGTCTTTAAGTCAGTTTTTTCTTTGCCTCTTTTTCCTCTAGAGGCCAGGAAACCTGGATGTGATATGGCTTTAGTTCTTCTGGAGTGACATAGTCTGGAGCATTGCCCATCAGGTCTCGTCCCCTGAAGGATTTAGGGAAAGCAATAACATCTCGGATACTTGGAGCATCAACAATGAGAGAGATCAGTCTGTCAAGTCCTAGAAGCACAAAACAAATTGGTGAACCACTTGAGTTATGGCCCTGTGTTACTTCCTCCAATTCAGAAAGATCAGAAAGATGTAGTAGATAATACTACTGAGCCTGAAGATGAAAGTGAAGCAAGGGGGCAAAAAAATAATCTAAAAATAAATCAATATTAACTAGTAGCAGAGAAACAGATTTGCCTGAAGACCAGAAATGCCTAGCAAAATAAAGCTTTTCAATATTACACAAAGTTCTGCAACACATCAAGTCCTACAAAAAAAAAAAAAAAAAAAAAAGCCTACAAAAAAAACCAGGCCTACAGAAAAAAACAGGCCTACAGAAAAAAACAGGCCTACAGAAAAAAACAGGCCTACAGAAAGGCAGCATGACAAAATGAGGGAAGCTAAATGGCAAGAAGACTGAGGGCTTTAGGGTTCTGCTTAACTGCTCAAAGATTTTGATCATCCAGTTCTGAAGGATTACAGCAACTAGGAGGAATTAAAGAAGAACAAGAGCCTCTGGGTAATTAGATGGAAAGAAATCACACTGGAAGGCCACAGGTTAAAATGCTGCCTTTGTTATTTGTAGGTTTTTGGGGAGGGGGTTGCTAGTTTTGGCGGTTTCTTTTGTTTTGGTTGATGTGCGGGTATTTTGTTTTTTTCCTTTTATAAAACCACAAAAAAAATCTGACACCACGTTAGTACGCAAAACAGATAAGGAAGAATGGAAGCAAGACTGATGGAGATGGCAAGACCGAGTCAATGAACCAGCTCATGGAAAACAAAGTATCATGGTGTCCCAGGCCTCTAGGCATGCAGTAGAGGAATGCTGCTCTGGCTGCACAGGAATGAGAATAAAGGTGACCTAATCTTAATGAATACACTGTAGAACAGCAGATAAGGATCACTCTTAGACACACCAACATATGATTTGGTCATTGCATAAGAACTAAATCACACTGATGCTGGGAAGGAACACCAAAACATTCTGCACATGGTGACGAGACCCATTTCCTTCTACAAAACAGCTACAGAGATGTAAGCACTGTGTAAGCCTACACAGTGTTACCATATTGGTGTACCAAACAGCAACACCAGGACAGCTATCTCTGTCAGAAGGAGACATGGGTTTTGCTAACCAGCATGAAACTTGTTCCTGAAATCTAACATGCCAGAAAATCACAAGACACCCGCATCTAGTAAGCTACAGAGCACTTACCTAAAGCAATTCCTCCATGAGGTGGAGCTCCAAGCTCCAAAGCCTCAAGCAGATGGGAAAGCACCTCAGAATCCTCCTGTAAAATTATGCAAGTGTCACTGGACAAGCAATGCTCTTCCTATCAGCAATGTAAGAGGAAGGTATGATGAAGTCATCCATCACTCAGGGCTAGGAGTTACATGTCTTTATCTGAGAAACACACAAGTGTTTCTTTCAGAATTTGAAATGGATATTTAATTAGCCCTTTAAAACTTCAGGAGAATGTCAGAGACATCTCTAGGTAGGTGTTACCTTCAACACTTTCTCCAGCACAAAACGCTGTTGCTCTGCACTATGAATTCTGATGGAACCACCTCCGATTTCATTGCCATTTAACACAAGGTCATAGTGCTGGCTACGGACCTGCAGAAAGACATGAACAAGCACCTTAGCAAGGCTGGGGCACAGCTGGATGTAACAGCGACCTGCATCCAGATGTCAAAGACATTGGGAACAAAGCCATGCCATACTACAACACTGCCCTCAAAAGTATCTTGCAGTTCAGCTACCAGTCTTATCCAACGCATGGACTGCTGCTGAGAGATACAGGAACAGTACAAATCCTTTTGCAAAGTTTATCAAAACACGAAGCAAAATGAGATGGGTCAGAATACAAGACTCCACCTTAAGCAACTGCTTCCCATAAATCCCTTTTATCAGGGGCACACATGGATATTTGCCACTTGGAATAATTTCAAAGTCATCTCTTCCAGACAGACACATACAATATGCAGTCAGTTCCATAAAACAACATCTCTTTTTCTTGCCTAGCTTTCCATAACACACAGCTGTAATTTAGTTACCTTTGTGGGATCAGAATAGAGGAGGCTGGTATCTGAAGGATGAGGGGCAGTGAAAGGGTGATGAGCAGATTCCAGTTCAGTGGGATTGTCTTCTTTTGAGAGGAAAAGGGGAAAATCCACCACCCACAGAAAGTGAAAAGCTGCAGGATCACGGAGTACCAGCCCAGCCGCCTCAAGGAGGTCAGCACTCTCCAACCGGAGGCTTCCTAATGCAGAGCACTGCAAAACAGAATGGAGCGAATGAGATGACGCAATCTACTGTGACTCAAGCACTGACCAGGGAAAGAGTGTTTCATAGAGAGATTCTATACCACAGACAGCATCAGCTGTCAATGCACTATTGCCTTGAACACTTTTGCCTTGTATCCTGAAATATACCACCTTCCTGCTGAGGCAGCATCAACTCCAGGGTTTGACAAAGACCAAGTAAGGAGCTAGAAAGTCCATTTTCTTCCAACTGTTCCACCTTCATAGAACTTGTCTAGACTAACCACAAGCTCCACACAACAAATGTGGATTAACTGAGGAAGCACTCATCTGCACTTTATAGACAGACAAATGAAGACATAGGAAGAATATGACAACATTTTGACAATCACGCAAAGCATAACACCTTGTCATAAACCAATGCCTGGAAAGCAGTATCTGCTGGCAAGAATACAGAGAAGAGTATGGACAGAATCTCCTATCACTGCTGCTAATAAACAGCTCTGCTTCACTTTGTCACCTGCCTATGGGAGATGAAATTACTTAGTTGACCATGTTTTCCAATCTCTATTTGATGCTTTAAAACTTAAGCTAAGGTGAGAGAAAAGAAGGCACTAATTTGTTCCTGTTTTATAATCCAGCTTTCATTACAGGTACAAGTTCTACCCACAATATGACTAACAGAAATAAAAGCAATAGGTACATTACATGCATTATTTGCTGTTGCTACAGCTCAGCTCCAAAAAAAACTAGAATTAGATTATTACCTATTTTAACACCAAGAAGAATTAAGACTAGATTTAGATAACATAATAGATTTAGACTAGAATTAGATAACAAATTCATCATCAGCAACAGTCAACTCACGTAGCCACCCAAGAAATGCTTCCTACCACTTGCTTTTCTTCACCAGCAGCCAGCAGCACCACATCATCCGCCTGCATGTTCAGTGCTTGGACAAGTTGTGACTGCTGCTTCTCACCAAGAAACCTTGTGAGCAGAGACTTCAAGCTTCCATCAGGCCTGCAGATAATTTCCACGATTTCCTAAAGAAAAATGAGTATGTTCAGTTCAGTGCTGCCCCCTCTTGTCTTGAAGAATCACACGCTCAGGCACTGACTGCTATTAAAAACTGCTCTTCTACTTTCCTCTGCCTTCAATTGCCCTTACACATACTTTGTCATTTACCATTTCCAATGCCTCACCAGTGTTTTGGTCTCACCTGGTTAAACTGGGATTTTGCAGACTCCTTTAGTGACTCCAAATTTTTATTTTTAAAGTATCTCTGGGGAAAGAGCAAGACAAGACACATTAAACATCAGAAAAGCCTATGGAAAACCTGACCAGGATTCAAATCTACTGTCTGAGCTGTTTCCAAACTTCCCAAGCTCTTTTGTTTTTAATACAAGTTCTTATGAGGGCTATGGAACAGGACAGGGCCCACAGCACTAGGCAGCAGCTGGGAATCTTCTCCAAGGGCTCCTTTCAGGAAGAGACCTCTCTAGGTTTTACATCTAGCTGCAGTTTTCTCTCCTGACTCACAAATCAGATACAGCTGCTCACGAGAGTCAGATCATGACAACTAATTGCCTCAACCAAACAAACAAGGTTATAGCATTACATTGTTGAAGGAGAAGGCATAGCTCAATTTGGAGTAACAACAGAGGACTTGGCTCATTCTCACACGTTAAGAAATACAGTGAGGACCTGTGTCAGGATCTTGACTTCTTCATCTACTCTAATGTTTAGAGGCTCAAGATTCCAGTTTTTTCAGCTCAAACACACACCCTAGTGCCCTCTCGTGGGAAGCCAGTAACTTGCACTTTGTACCAAAATTAAAAGAATCCCAAGAGAATCATGGTCAGAAAGTCCTATTCCCCAAATAATAGTCAGGGCTTAGTGGATTAATTTTTTCCATACTGTCCCAGCTTAAAATATAAACACAGCCAGAATTAAATCTGCTTCCCTTCCAAAATATATGGCTGTGTCAAATAATCATTTACACCTATTGTGAGCCTTGGATTTGGTCTGTGACATTCTCATTACACAAGATGAGCTGTGCCCACAAATGCAGCAAAAGCAAACATAAGGGCATGTAACAATCTGAACTTTCTCTCAGTAGTCCAGAACAGAGCTGCACCATATCTGGCTCAATTTCCATCTCTTGCCACAGAGCAAGATTTATTATTGAGATGCACATCAGAAGCAACCCTTGACAAAAGCAAGCTGAAGCCCTGGGAAGCTTCCCTGTCCTCAAGGGATCTTGCAGCTGTTATTTTCCTCCCCTTCCTAAGATGATATATTCTTCGTGTCAGCTGATCACCTCCATTCCAACACCTCTCAGACCAATCTGACATCAACTACAGCCAATCCCAAAGGATACCAAAACCCCAGTAATAGCAAGGAACATTTCCATATCAGTAAAGGAATTCAAATTGACATTTTATTTATTTCATATAAACCATAAGCAGTATGTAAATGCATCGCTTACCACTCCCTGAGGGATACAAATGGCTTTGACAGTGCCATGTGGGTAACTGAGTGCATTCTGTACAAACGGAATGTCCGATCTTTGTAGAAAATCACCGATATCCACTATCTAAGAAAGGAGAGAGCGCAGGAAAAAGCAGTTTGCTTCAGGAACATGAAACAAAAATCCAGTACCTATGTCAAAGCCTCCAACATCATTCCCTGGGATATAATTTCTTTTCTCAGAGAAATCAAATGGTTCACAGAAAGAAATTAACAAGGCCAAGCTGGAATAACCAATAGGAGGCTGAACACTGCAGGAACAGAAATACAAGGCAGGCAGAAAAAATCCAAGGCTGAGATGGTGACATCTTACCACAGAGAAGGGAGCTGCAGACTGAGAAAGAAACCCCCCAAATTAATTCCTGAGGAAAAATAAGATGCTTTCGTACTTTTCAGCACTGTTCTCTCAATATATTTGTCAATATTCTGATTTTATACTTTCATACTCTTATTTCATATAGAAAGTGTATACACACAACCACAGCTGGTTATCTTGAAAATACCTTCAGGTCATTAAAAGGGTGGAGAAGCCTGTCTCATGAAGCATGCTTACCAGGAGTATGCCATGGAGTACAGTAGGTAAAAGCATTTGATGAGTTACCTGTGAACTCCTTATGGGCTTCAGTTCCTAACACTACATTATCTTCAACATAACATTTTCTTAAAACATACATTTTCCACAGCCAACTAATCAAACCCTCTCTTCTCCAAGCGATTACCTGTACAAAGCAGCAACGATGAGATAAACACCTTGGGAAAAGTACAGCATTAAGAACCCCAAACAATCATGTATGTATGATCCAAACACAAAACTAACAGAAAGGAACAGATGCAAGTTTCCAGTGGGCAAACCCTCACCTTCATCCCAAAACGAGTGTCTGGTTTATCAGTCCCATAGTCAGCCAGTGCCTCCTCGTAAGTCATGGAAGGGAAAGGAGTTGAAATGGAGGCTCTTTCCTCAGGCCAGGAATACTGCAGGAGGCCTTCCACCAGTTTCTGGATCCCAGCTTTATCTACAAATGACATCTCTATATCTATCTTAAAACAGAAAACAAGAGGGTGGATTCCACATTAGCTAGATTTTGCCTTTCCACTGCTACTTGCAGAAGCTCTTGACTATGAAGCTAGCATAACAAGAACCAATATGCTACGTGAAATTATAGCATGACTGCATTAGGCTGGGGACATGCTATGGTCTCCCTACACCATGATGACTCAGGCAACATTCTCCTCGGACAACTGAATGAGGTAATGATGACAAGTACAGATGGAGAAGCCTTGAATGAACCAGGCTAACTCTGCCTGGGATCTCAAGGCTGAGGAATGAGATGCCTGACCCAGCAGGACAGGAAGAGATTGCATCATCAAGCACAATCACTGCTGCAACACAATTCCCACATCTGATCATCTAATGTACATGGGATCAGTCAGCCAAGGACAATAGCCATTCTGTACACAGCCCTTTGAAGCTAGTATGGGACATGTCTGTGAAGCATGCAGCAAGCAACACTGTATACACCTCCACCACCCCCCCCCACAAGAAGCACAAGAGCAAAGAGAAATTAAGCCTTCAGAAGGGAAAACAGCTTCAAGCTATTTGCTATTTGGATCGAGGAGGAAGGTGAAAGGCAGTGTGAGTTGGTTACCTGAGTGAATTCAGGCTGCCTGTCAGGCCGTGAACCTTCATCTCGGTAGCAGCGAGCAACCTGAAAGTACCTGCAATAGTACTTTTACTCAGGTAACAATTTAAGTACCCTGAATCAAATTGTGGCTATAGAATTGATCATAATGTAAAGAAGAAGGGAGTGGGGGCAGAGAGAGAACTCTGTTCCTCTGTTTTCTTTGCAGCAGAGGATCATAGCCCTGATTGTTCCCATCCCTTCAAAGGCATGAAATTCTGTGTGGAAGCAACTGTGCCAGCAGCTGTATCCATTTCCAGGCATATCTTCCAGAGGCATGTGGAGGCTGCCTCCCAGCAGGGACATACACAATCCCTTTTCCCAGGTTCCGCTCCAAACCTGGACTCCACTAACAACCATGCAAAATTCACCCATGTTCAGACCTGGCCTGCAGTTCACTGTGTGAACAATTGTCATCCTCTCCTTCAATTCTATTTGGAGAACAAGACAAATTAAAAGCTTTGTACTTGTGCACCCTGAAAGTATATGTTCCTTGTCTCAGTCATGCTCAGCTGCCCACTCATCTCAATTAGTTCTACAGGTTGCTCGTGGAGAGGCTTTTATCACACACTAGTTTTTCTGCTCTTCAGGCAGATTGTGCTTCAGATCAGGTTTCCATTTAAAACAACCCAGAAGGTTTCAACCTTCAAACAGGATACATTTCCTCTTACTGGGAGATCCTATTGCTGGGTGGGGAGGCAAAGAGCATGGTCTGCCTGGAAGATCTGAAGGAATAAAGGATTCCTCTTCAAAACACAAAACCCTTGGCTGTATGTTTTTGGGGAAGTATTTAAAACCTCAGACCAGAGCAAGCACACCCTAGATGTGACATGTGGAGAACAGGAATCCAAGAAACAATTACCTGTCCAGGCCTCCAACCATGAGGAGCTGCTTGAACTGCTGAGGACTCTGCGGTAGAGAGTAGAACTTGCCCGCTTCCCTTGAGGGTACAAGGAATTCTTTTGCTCCCTAGCATCAGAAAGAAAAGCTTACACAGTTCGGCAAACAAGTGGCCTCAATTCCTGACAGAGAGCACAGACCAAAAGCACAAGAGGAAAGGACCTATTTTCCCAATAATAAAATCTCACTTATGAGGAAATGGCTGTTTGTACATTACACTCAAATCTGTTAACCAGCTTAGTCCAAAATATCCCAAAGGAGGATTTTTCCATCTTTTATTCTGAGAGACTAATGCGTAACAATACACCATCCAAGGCAGGGGCTTAAATGCAAGAATTCCAAGTATTAGCTGCATCAACAATTCCTGGACCACAGTTCTCTGTGATTATTTTTTAAATGAAAGAACAGAATATAGACTCAGAAATTAAAATTGAGTAATGCCACTGCAGTAACCTACTCATTAAAAGAAAAATGCTGGGGAAACAGTGCTTAGAGGAAGATTTTTGGTTTTGCCAAATAATAATCTGCCTGTCCCAAGACAGGACTTTCATTCAACATGCGCTCTACAAGACAGATAATTTTGAACCTTCAAATGAATAAAGCAAGACCCATGGTATCACCTCTTCCTTTTCACACCCTCTACTTTTAAAAGGATCCATGTATTGTATCAGAAATTTGCAGAAGCTGTTACTTAGTGAGGAAACAGCAATGAAGGCTGAGGGGAAATTGACAATACTTCAACTGAACTGCCTATGGAATTGCAGGAGGATAAAAGGCTCTACTAACAGAATACATACCCCTGGAGTTCTTTTAAAGAGTGTTGGAGTTTCTACATCCACAAACCCTGAGGGATAAACACATGCTTCAGACACAGAATATGCAGAAATCAGGGAGAACTAGCATGACACAGACTAGGATAGAGTAGGGTCAGTCAGCAAAACAGGTAATCTAGCACACCATGTAGCCTCTCCAAAATGCACAGATTTCACTGCTTCCAAGAATAACTTGTGTAATAAAAGATTTAAAGGCTCTGAGTTACCCTGCTGGCCTGCCAGAATTGTTAATGACAGGACTCCATACAGACTGAAAAATTACTAGCTTTCTATTTCAAACCAGGCTTTGATTTTCCACAAAGCACTTCCTGATTTTAAGACAACCAGAAGCCCTACAAGAAACTCATCCCTTTGATATGCCTCAGGCTGGCTGACCAGAAGGGAAAACTATCTGCAAAAGGCCTTTTCTCACTGGATATAGCTCATTTGAAATAACTGGTCTGTAACACAGGGTAAGATTTCAACATACTTGTTCTTCAGGTCTGACAACATCTCTAAAGACCACACTACAAGTAGACATATCCTTCCTCCTTATTAAGTAGGACCAGCTGGAATAGCAACCTGATTGGCAATCTCTCTCAGCAATACGAAAAAGAGGCTGGGAGACCCAAAATGTTGTTTGCTACCAGTTGTTCTTCAAGCACTTTCCTTACCATGGAGGTTACATAGATATTCCCGCATCTTCATCACAATGCGTGATCTCAGCCTCAGGTTATACTGTAACTGGAAGCTACGCAAGTCCAAGTAGCGATACTGCATCCGTAAGGCCTCTGATTTCTGAGGATGAGTTAATTAGGATTAAGAGACAAAATTTAAACTACACCTCAAATGAATCTGCTCTTGAAGCTACAGAACAAAAGGCGTAAGGAAGAAAACAATGCTGCTCCATTACCAGAGCCCACCAACCTACAAATATGAAACTAAGAGTGTTTCCATGCATGACAATTACTAAAAAAGACATAATCTGAAAAAAAAATTAAAAAAGTAAAACAAATAAAGAAAAAATACATTTACTGAGACAAAAGCTGCTTCAGTAAAGTTGAATACACTTGAGAATTTCAGCCCTCCTTATTCTTAGTCCACTGCAACAGCATGTAGCACCTCCTTACAACTTTTAATCAGAGGAGTGGTATCATGCACAGATCTAAAGGAACAACTAAATGGTGAAACATCCTTGTTACAGACAGGAAAACTAAAGTAGTGCAGATGATGGGAATTGCCCAGGACCCACAGCTGGAAGGAACAGGACCCTGTTCTTCCAATTCCAACACCTGTGCATCAGCTATGGTTTCAATGGCAAAGTTAACAGAGATGCCACCCCTTCACCATGAAGCCTGTACTAAAACTAAACTCTTGTAAGACTCTACTTACAAAGAAAGTCTGCCAGACTACCTACTTTTTAGGTTGGATGTAAGAAGGAAGTTTTTTCCTGTTAGGGTGGTGAGGCACTGGAACAGGTTGCCCAGGGAGGTTGTGAATGCTCCATCCCTGGCAGTGTTCAAGGCCAGGCTGGACGAGGCCTTGGGTGATATGATTTAGCGTAAGGTGTCCCTGCCCACGGCAGGGGGGTTGGAACTTGATGATCTTAAGGTCCTTTCCAACCCTAACGAATTCTATGATTCTACTTGTCCAGGCAAGACTAAGCACCCTTGCCTTAAAACACAGCAGTGCACTGGCAGGTTCTGTTTCACACTCAAAAAAGCTAGCATAGTCTGATTTCTTTTACCCTCCCTTTATCATCCATTCTTACAGTGACATCTGAACAACCTATGCACTGGAATCATTCAAGCCTTGTTTTCTGCTTAACTTTAATTAGAAACGCATCCTCACAGCTAACAAGAAGAACGCCTGTTTTAAATACTGTTCTTCCCCCAACGCAGAGCTGGGAGAATCAGATGCAGCTCACAGGTTTTGCCATCATGCTGGGCAAATTTCCGATTTACTGAAAAGCCACTACTTTGGAGAAAAGCAAACAAACAAACAAACAAACAAAAAACAACAAAGAAACAAATATGGACACCTTGATGAAATCCTTGATTTCAAAAGGCAGCTTCTTGCAGGAGTTTAGGATCTCTGCAGTCTCTGCCTTCACTTCAATATCCCCTGTTGGCATTTTCTGGAGCAAAAAGACAAACAAAAAAAATTAGGCTCAAAACTTAAGGAAATCAGTTGGACAAAGGTGTTTCACAGATGGGGTAGGGGGGAGACGGCAGGGACACCAAAATACCCATGTGATGTGATTATCCTCCCTGCCTTCTAATACAGTGTTAACTCAGAGAACTTCTCTCAAGGAGAGATTCCTCCTAGATTTCCCAACTGTTGAGAAAAACGTAAGTTGCCTCACCAAAGACAGCATGCTCTTTCCCAGTAGCATACTGATCTCTACAAGAAATATATTTACTTCACCTTCTTCTTGAAGGACCTTCTGCTTCAGGGAAACCATGCAGTATATATTTTAGAACAGATTAGCAGCATCACCATCAGACCTTAATACAAGTCCAAAAAGATAACTTGTAAGTAACTTCTGGTTCTGAATACCAGTTCTCAGAACTAGTCTTCTTTTTCTTAGATCCCATGGGAGAACAGCCAGCCTCCCTCACTCAGCACTGTGCCACATCAAAGTTCTCCTGATCCTACAGAACTCTGTTTACCACAGGAAAGTATATACAACCTTCCAATAAAATGATAAACGGTTAAAAGAAATAAAAGCATTGTTTGAAGCCTGCATTCTTTATGCACATCTGTAAGTGGTCAGAGCAAAAAAAGAAGTTATGGTCATAAATCGAGGTTCTCTTTTTAAGCCTGCCAGTGAGAGGATACATACAATCCCGACAGATTAATCTACAGCTGATTACAGTGAGAGCTGAGGAATGCATAATATTTTAAAAAGTATTTAACCTCTGTTTCCTGCACAATGAAAAAAGCAAAATCTATTCTGAGTGAAAAACAGATCACTGCATGCTGCGGAATTTGTGATGACAACACTTTCAAGAAAAAAGAAATTCTCAACCACACTTTGAAAGCCTGAAGAAGCTAGCCATTATTCTTCCAAAGGGCTGGAACAGAATTTAATTTTTCGGTATCTGTAGTGTGCTTTGAAATTCTTCTAAGTTACATGTCATAGCAGTTCTCTCACCTCACATTATCTGAGGACAGGCTGTCACACACCCAGAAACTATGGCAAAGCTACGACACAAAACCCACCATAATTCTGTTGTCCAGTGCTCTTTTCCCTAAGGAATAAAACCCCAGTGTTCCCAGCATCCTCACCGGATTCTCCTGCCCTGGGGGTCGAGGTGACACAATTCCAGTCACTCGAACAACAGACTCCACCGGGGCATTAGACAAAAGATTTTTCACATGGGAATGTGCCTGCAAGAAGATGACAATGTCTCACAGAAATTCAAACAGGACAAATACACCATGTTCAAGAGCCTCTTTTCTTAACAGCCCATTTGATTTCAGGATCACTCCTCATAAGCCAGAGGAGAGCACTGATGTTTTCATTACTATCTCAGATCAGGGCTCTTATAACACTTAAACCTACTTGTGACTCAGAGCACTCAGTCTGACAAAGTGCTTCATTCTGTACTCTGTGTCTGCTGTACCCACGCTGTCAAAGGAAAAGTAAAAATAAGAGAGGCACTCATATTTTGGTAGCACTTACCTCATCTTGTGGAATGATGACCTGGATCAGTCCCTGGAAATCCCTCAAAACCAGAAACAGGCTTTGTCTGATCCATGAAAAACACAACAGGAAAAACAGTTTTTTCTGAGAATGCAGCAGTCTTCTGCTTTTTAAGCCAAAGCACATAGCAACTAGCTACTTTCTGTAGCTCTTGACTAACCTCAAAGCACTTCCAAGCAATGTACATGCAGATACTTTTTCCACACCTGAATCTAAACTGAATAATTTATTTCAGATTTTGCCAGCCACAAACATGTGCAAATAACCAGGAGAGGCAGGATTTTAACTTGAACGTAAATCCATGTACAGCAGGAATTCTGAACATGTGTGATTTCCTCCTAGGAAACATCACATTTAGCCGAGCAATAAAACTAAAGTTCACATGGATACAAAACCTCCAAAAAATCTCCAACTACAAAATAAGAACACTAGTCCCATTAAAAGTTTCACAAGAACAATCCACAGTCCTAGATCCAGAATTATAAAACTTGACCTCTTCAGCTGCAGCAGAGACAACCACCACTGTACTTCATCCATCAAGAAGCTGTCAAATCGAACATGCTTTGCCCATCTTTAAAAGCAAGACTGCAACAATTGCACTGCAATAATCCTGCTTCCTGAAACTCCATGTTGTATGCAGACATGCTTTTCACCCAATATTTACAGAACATTCAACTTCAGTGGGAGTGATTATATCATGCCACCTATAGCAAACTACTGGAACTAACATTTCACCAGCTGCTCTTCTTAAAAGCTTCATTACCTTAATATTTCCTTAAGCAAAACTTGCATTCTTTAAATATGCATGATTAGATGCTGTAGTTGAAGAGACAAACATCACTTGCTTAAAATTTAAGGATGTTACATAAAAGACATTATTTGCTCACAGCTGTTAGAATTGCTATAAATATGCTATTATTTGTTTTTTCTCCTATACAACAAGGGTAATAATATTTAACTGCTTTAAAGTGCTGTAATGAGGATCAATAAAGATTTGTATAAAGCTCTGAAATCTTAAATACTGATCTGGCACAGTTCTCAACTGGTTTACTCACTTCAGAAGCAACTACAGCAGGACATGAAAAGACAGGACTTCAGTCACTTCAGCCAATAAGCCAGCATCATCAGGGGCCCAATTTAAACACCTCTATGCCAATGTACATCGCATGGGGAACAAGCAAGAGGAGTAAGAAGTGTGCATACACCTGAAGGGTTACAATCTCACTGGCATCATGGAGACGGAGTGTTGGAATTGAAGGATATAGGCCCTGCAGGAAAAGCAAGCTGCGGAGACGAGGAAGGAGAAACAGCAATGACTGCCAGTGACAGCAAATGCTCAGCTGGAGTGCACAGAGCTCTGTCTGGTGATGGATGAGAAGCCAACTGAGAGCTTATCAGTCAGGATTAAAGGGAGGCCAGGGACGGGACACTACAGTGTTTGCTACAGGCCACCCAACCAGGAAGACAAAGTGGATGAGGTCCTCTATAGTCAGACAGGTGTCACCTCATGTTCACCAGCCCTGGTTCTCATGGGGGACTTCAACCACACCCGTATCCCTTGAAGGGACAACGCAGCAGGGCACAATCAACCCAGGAGGTTTCTGGAACACCTTGACAATACCTTCCTTCTCCAAGCGATGGAAGGAACCAACAAGGAGAGTTGACAATGCTGGACCTTATCCTCACCAAGAGGGAGGGGCTGATGGGGAATGTGAAGCTTGAGGGGACTACGAAATGGTGGAGTTTGAGATTCTTAGGATGGCGAGGAGGGCACATAGCAAGCTCATTACCCTGGACTTCAGGAGGGCAGACTTCAGCCTCCTGAGGGATCTGCTTGGAGGAGTACCACAGGATAAAGCCCTGGAGGGAAAAGGGGTCTAGGAAAGCTGGTTAATATTCAGGGATCACCTCCTTCAAGTGCAGAAGTGATGCAACCCAACAAAGAAGATGCCAGGCAAGACCACCAGGAGGCCTATGTGGATGAAATTGCTCCTGAATCAACCCCAGGGAGAAAAAAAAAAAAAAAGGAGGCTTACAGAGGGTGGAAGCAAGAACGGGTAACCTGGGCAGAATATAGTCAGAGCAGCCAGGGATTAGCTTAGGAAAGCTAAAGCCATGACACAATTGAATCTGGCCAAGGACATTAAGGGCAACAAGTAAAACTTCTACAGGTACACCTGGGGATAAAAGGAAGACAAGGGAAAACATGGGTCCTCTCCAGAAGAAAACAAGTGACCTTCCCAGGGGTGCTGGTTGACAAGAAGCTCAACATGAGCCAGCAGTGTGTGCTCACAGCCAGGAAACCAACCATGTTTTGGGCTGTATCAAAAGGACTGTGACCAGCAGGTCGAGGGAGGGGATTCTGCCCCTATACTTTGCTCTCATAAGACCTCACCTGCAGTACTCTATCTAGCTCTGGAGTCCCCAGTACAGGAAAGATATGGACCTGCTGGAGAGGGTCCAGAGGAGGGCCAAAAAACAATCAGAGGGATGGTACACTCGCTATGAAGACAGGCTGAGAGTTGGTCTTGTTCAGGCTGGAGAACAGAAGGCTCAGGGGAGACTTTGTAACAGCCTTTCAGTACCTAAAGGGGGTATACAGAAAACTGGAGAAGGGCTTTTTACAAGCACACGTAGTGACACAACAAGGGGGAATGACTTTAAGATGAAAAAGGGGGTATTTAGATGAGACATTAGGAAGAATTTATTCACTATGGGAGCAGGGAGACACTGGAACAGGTTGCCCAGAGAAGCTGTTGATGCTCCATTCCTGGCAGTGTTCAAGGCCACGCTGGACAGGGCTTTGAGCAATATGGTCTAGTGGAAGGTGTTCCTGTCCATGGCAGGGGTGTTTGAACTAGACGCTATTTAAGGTTATTTCCAACCAAACCATTTCATGATTCTACAGCCTGAAGCATAGAAAGAAGTGTTTGAATCCAGGCCTACATCAGATACTGAATCTGGAAAACAAGCATCTCCATTTTCACCTTCATTTGCATTTACCTTTGATACTGAATCCATCCATACAGTGTGACCTCTTGTCCCACATGAGCAGAACGCAGCTCTCCACAAGTATTTGTCCGAGTGACAAAACTATTGAAGTCTTGAATAAAAATAATAAAACCTTTTGTGGCTTTTGGAGACAAGCAAGACAAAGCAGTGATAGTTTTGCTCCCCAATCCAAATACAGTTTAGATGTACACAAATTATTTTATATATCCCAAACAGGACTACTATAAGGCATGAGGACATATGATACGAAATTATTCTAATCAAGTTTTTAAAAGGAATTAATTTATATGTCTCAATCAAACTTTCACAAAGAAATCTGAACAGTCTTGCTGCAAACTGTTGCCCTAAATATTTCAGGGGCAAAAAAAAAGGAAAGCTGCAAATCAGTCCTGAGACATACTGACAATTCCGTATTCAAATCTAGAAAATACAACAGACAAGCCAAGACAGAAACATACATACACCAACCATGTGGGAGCAAGCTAAAGTTTCCTGCCTGCAACTACTGGTAAAAGGCCTGAACCATTACTACAGAAGCCTTTCCACAGACCTGTGTGCCTGACATCACAACTTAGAAAACCAAGCACACCATTTACAAAATGTTCAAGAAATTCAGCTCACAAAGAAAAATTTGAAAGAAACTATTCCCTAAACATATATGTAACTATGTGAACTGATCTTCCTTGCTACATCACAGGCTTTACAGTTAAAAGATTAAAGTAAAGGGCAGAAAGGTTTGGTTTCCAACTATTTCATTAGGGTCTTCCACTACCCCTGTTTACAGATAGTGTGCTATGTAAGAAAGAGGGTCAAAAAATAAAGTAAATGCTCAAAGAAAAAAACATGGTCTTGGTATACTTTAAATCACAATTCATTAAGAGAAAACAAAGGTTAAATAAAAACATGATTTAGAAATTACGCTTAAAAACCGAGCCAAGGAAGACAATTTGTCGTAAGTATGCCCTTAACTGTGCGTGCAGACTACCCTGACCTGGATCCCAGGGACAAAGCGATAACTAAAGCCCAGAGACGCCGGTGGAAATAAAACGCTTCTGTCTCACCTGGAGCTACCGACGCTGAGGCAGAGGCCGAGGCCGCTCTGAGGAGAGCCCGCCCGTAGCCCGCCCGGGTAAGCCCTCGGGCCAGCTCGGGCAGCACCCACGACAGTGCCATCCTACAGCTGCACCTGAACCATAGACAAAAGGGGACAGTCACAAACCTGCGAGTCGTTACGAATACAGACACAGAAGGAAAAGCTCCAGCCCACCAGCTTCAACCTCTCCCTCCCAGGGGAGCCCTGCGCCGGGACGCCACCTCCCGGGAAGGAGGCTGGGGCACCAGCGGGGAACAAAGACCCTCCAGCCAGGGCCAGGCGGGGCCCAGCTGCAGCAGGCAGGTCACCTCATGGTAAGGCCTGCTACCGCCAGCTCACCAGGAATGCCCTTCTCGCCCTCAGGCCCAGCAGCATCGAAGAAGACTGGGTCCTTCTCCACTTCCGGCCGCCACAAATATGGCGACCTAGCACGCCGCGGGGCTGACGGGAAGGCAGTTCAAACAGTGCCTGGCGGGGAGTGGTGCTGCGGGTCGTTGGAGTCATGGAAGCGCTGGACGGGGCGGCGCGGACGCTGCCCAGCATGGGGCGGCTGTCGTGGGGGCCGCCGTTTGGGCGAGCGGACGGGCGGTGCGGGCTCAGCCCCAGCGGTCGGCTGCTCCTGCAGGTAGGGCCGGGTGGTGGATGCGGTGGGTCCTACTTGCCCTTTCGGCTCTCGGCCGAGCTCGCTCCTCCGCTGTTCCCCCTGTATGTGAGACTTGTCTCAGTGCTGCCGTCTCCCGCTCGGCACCGCTGCCGTGGTGCTGCCAGGCGGGAAATCTGCGCGTGTCCGGGCAGAGAGACTGCGAGCGGCGGCCGAGCCGAGCCGGGCCGGGCCGGGCCAGCTGGGGGTCCTCCTGCAAGCCCAGGCTGAGGAAGCTGTTCCTCTGCTGGGGGAAGGGGGGGGGTGTGTTCTTATTTTTATTTATTTTTTTTTTCTTTAGAGAAACTTAGATTCCCAGGCACCAGCGTTTCTACTGCGCAAGTCGTGGGCCTTATATAGCGTGAGCCCTCTGTATAAGTTCTCCTGCGCTCATCTGAAGGCCTACGCTAAGCTGCTGAGTGCATATATGGCTGCCGAGAAGCAGAAGGGGCTGGCGGTGGAAGTAGGGGTTGAGCTGGACATCAGTGTGGCTATCTCCAGCCTTCCAGACCTGAAAGGTAGTGACCAAGACGAGGCTGCAGTTCTCGTGCAGGTAAGGAGTCTTCCTGGCAGTATTGATAACTGTAATTGAGATTTGCATTTTACAAGTTGCTTTTGACGTCATAAAATGCTCTACCTCTTACAAAAAAAAACAGACAAAACAAAACAAAACCACCACCACTCCTAAAAAAAAAAAAACAAAACACAATTAAACCCTAGCTGTGTGTGGCAACTACTGTAGTGTCTCTTGAAATTTAATATAAGTGAACCTGGTCTATTTTTAACTGGAACACACGTAATGCAATTTTGAGTTATAAACTTTTTTATAAGATCAGAGTAAGACTACAAGGCGCAATCCTCATCTATTTTTTTAGTGAGCAGTCAATTAACTTCAAGAACTCCAGTTATTTAGCTTCCTGGGTAAAGTTGGCATAATCCTACCTTGTGGCCCTAGCTCAAGTCTAATCAGCATTTCTGAAATGCCCTGCCTCAAGTGAAAGATGCTGTTGAAATGCCAAGTTCAGTATGGCAATGATCAGTGTGTACCATGGGTTGGCTCTTCTGAATTAAGCAACATAAGCTTGGATCTCAGTACCATTCCTAATTAAGTGCTTTTCCTGCTGTTTTCAACAGAATTTCACGTTTCTTTTAGGGATGTAACAGACTGAATAACTGTATGAGCTTTGCAGAAAATAATGTTGTATGTGAGGCTCCTGAGGAAAAAATGTTGTACCAAATGCTTGAGATTATAAAACAAACAAAAAAAATGGCTAAAAAAAGTCTTAACTTCTTCTGTAGCATTCAAATGCTTCTCTTCCCTATCCCAGCTTTCTTTGGAATCACAAGCTTCCCAAAAAAAGTCAGAAGAGAAACTGGTATGGTCGGGCTGGTTCTGTTCTGTGAGTGGAGATGATCTTTCCAAGAACATGCCAGCAGACTTCACTTGTTTACCTGTGTTTCTTGCTAATGGGGCAGAGAGTTACACATCCATTGTTGGAAGTTGGTTTCAGAAGACTTTTGATTGCTGCTTCCACCGTTTAGCCATTAGCCCTCTCAGTCTCGGTTGGATGGCAGCTATGTGGACTGGATCCAAGTTGGAAGAAAATGCATCTGCTATGGAACTTGTTTTCTCTGTCCCCAGTCTATCCCAGTCTCTGGAAATTTCATATGCCATTCATCCAGAGGATGCAAAAGCTCTGTGGGACACAGTCCAAAAAACTCCAGGGGAGATAACACAAGAAGAGGTGGATGTCTTTATGGATTGCCTTTACTCTCACTTCCACAGACACTTTAAGATCCACTTGTCAGCTACAAAACTGGTGAAAGTTTCTACAGCAGTTGCCTCAGCACACTGTGATGGGATTATAAAGGTGAGGTTTAAAGTAGCACATTGTCCTAACTAATGTGTGACAAAAAAAAATAGTTGTACCTCTCTAGAAATGCCTTACTCTTAAAAATGAAGGTTTCATGTTTCTTATGCATTATTTCCTTTAAGAAATTGTTAAGCCCTCACGTTTTATTAGTCATAACTGGTTCTGTAGTTCAGGCTATCAATACAGTATTTTACTGTTGTATTGCAACAGAAGCTACTAACCCTAGTCTTGGGCCAGAAATAGGTGTGTTAGCTGTGGTATCAACAGGAAAATTTCTTTGCCCATTGCCCAGTACTGAAGCTTAAAATGATCCCCAACTTAATAAAAAAACCTTTAAAAAAAAAATTATTAGCTTTCTAGTACTGCAGTTATTAAGACAGGCAGAGGACAAATATAATTAACCTACTATATAAAAGTAACTGGTGTGTGAACCAAAAGACAAGATGATTTTAAGAGTTGAAATGTTTTGCTTAAAACTACTTCACTTGTAACTCTTTTCATAAAGGTGCACTGGTCTTCCTATAGAGGTCTCTACGATGTCTTTTAAAATCATGGAGGATTAATCCTTTCTGAAGTTTCTTCAGTCTGAGTTAAAGAACAGTTTGTGTAAATGCAATTGCTTAAATTTAGTCTATGACACATTGCCCTTATAGTTCTGGGTACAGGCTGTTAGAGGCTGTAACTGGGACCCCCCTCATGGACCTCTTTCCTGGAGCATGTGCTCATCAAATGAGAGATAATAAACTTTGCTGGGAAGCATCTCTTAACAATTTTGGCCTTCAGCAGAACTGCAAATGCTAAATGTTAGTGTTACGTTGCTTCTTTTTATCTGCAGCAGTTTAAAAGTGGCTGAAACACTTTGCAGTTAAATAAACACAAATGGTATTCAACTGAATATGCTTTCTGAAGAAAATTCTCTTCTGGAATGTCTGTGGTGTAAACTCAGTTATGGCTCTTCCATAATAGGAATATATGTGGTATAGGAAAATAGGGATGTTCAAGGAAATTGGCAATGTCCTTCCTGGCCTTCCGAAAGAAGGGAGGTAGCTGAAGGAGCAGAAGTGCTAGGATGCTCAGCTTCCAAAAAAGTTGGAGTAGGAGCAGGACATTTCTTAGATACCCTGCTTCACATGGGACAGGAGCAGAAAGGAGAGCATGTAGGCAAGCGTATCTTCTCCACATCCAGGGTCAAAACAGTAACAAAGGTACTGCACAAACAACAGAGAAGCTGACTAGACACATGGAACATGTAGTTGGTTTTCAGCCATTTAAAGGTGTGGAAATCTGGCAACTGTAATTTTTTTACATGCTTTTTTTTTTTTTCTCCTTTCTTGCAGTTTCTACAAAGCCAATATGTAATTGAAGTGCTGATGCTACTGACAGAACTAGCAATCTCTCAGATACAGTGAGAGTCACTTCAGCAAATCATGAAGAGGCTACTGCTGGAAGATACATCCTGAGAAATCAAGTGGAAAGTCATTCCTGCAGCATCTTCTTTGCTTTCATGCTGTCAGAAACTGGACTCTTAACTCCTGCACTCAACTCTAGATGTAATTCAGTGTCCTGCACAGTAAAGACAAGAAGACATTTTTGCCCTAAAGAAGGGCTACATTACAAACTACTAGTAGCTTTTTAAGCACCTTTGTTTTTATCATAGTCATTCTCTTCATTTATGTGTATTACATCAGATTATGTGTATTATATTCAGAGATACCTGTATCAGCCAGGGGCTAGGAGATAAAATTTGCAAATTCTTGGATGCAGCTTGCTGTCAGACACTTCTGTTGTTTCAAATAGCAAGTTGGTTTTCACTTAAGTAGGTAGCCTAAGCTATACCGACCTTAACCTTGGCTCAACTGTGACTACTCTTGGGCCAATCTAAACACAGAATCAAACACCCCTGAGAAAGGGTGCATGCTCTACAACCCAGGACAGAAAAATCCAGGTTTCTAACTTCCTTTTTAGCTTGCTAAGGCCAGTTGGTAATAGTTAAAAGTATTCATCTGTGTCCTGTTGGGCTAAGTTGAACAGCATGAGACTGACAACTGCCTTTTGTATCCAGCCTGTTGGCTGTCTTAGATGAGTTAGTTAATACATCAGAAATTAAGGGCTGTGGATAAGCTAGATATTTACTGTGCTATGCCTGATGGTTGTTATCTTGGATGTAATCTTGTAGGCTCCAGAGCTCTTGGGGTCGGAGCTATAGGTGCTAAAATTTTATACTAGATCTCTCCATACTTCAGTAGGTAGGATTTCAGACAGCTAGCGGACAGTGCCCTAATCATAGCTTAAACAAGCAGAAAGTAAGCAAATACATGTCAAGTGTTATAAGTTTGTGTTATAGTACTAAATTTTATTTGCCATTTTTTACCAACACATTGGTCTTGAGCTAAGACAAGGCCAAATATGCCTGCTTAAATATATACTTGTATGGTGCTTACCTGATTTAACTACACATTGTTACCTATTAAGTAATTCTGTGAGCAGCAAAATTTAAAGTCTAGTTTCTTCTACAACTCACTTGTAATACCTTCACACTTGTGCACCATCTCTGAGGTCTGATGAGTTTGCGCTGTGATATTCCCCCTAAACAGGGACAAGTTTCCCTTCTTTGCCCAACCATGTAATTTTAGGATTTGTCAGCTGTCACTAAAAACATTCTTCCTTCTCCCCACACAGGGAGATGAACCAGCCATGCAAATAATTAACTACCTAATGTGACATAACTGCACAACTAGTTCCTAATCTACTTTAGCTAATTCTATAAATAGATTATTAAAACAAACGTGCAAAAACTAGTTTTTGTTTACTAGTTGGATTATTTTTGTAGAGGTTGCTGTCTGTAAAGTGCTCTTACCCTGATAGAAGCAGCTAAGCAATTTCCTGAAGGCTTTGACAGCACAGCAGCTATTTAAACTTTAGTTTCCTTTTATTAAAGGTCTTAGACAAACTTTGCTATCTTGATTCACTGGGCAAAGCAGTAGGAGGTCTGATATAACTGGCACCTGTATTTGATTTGAAAACAAGACTGTTAGACCCATGGCTTAGTTTTAAATCTAATGCTCAGCTCTTTCCAAGAAATTTGCATAAATCTCTAAAAACCTAAATTCTATATAGCCTCTTTTAACTAGTTCTTTGCCTTAAGAACCCAGTCTAATAGCATGGGAAACTCCAGTGGAGTGCATATATCAACTATGGCCACACTCAGCTTTCAAAACTGATGCTTTGCTATGTATACATACCTCTACTATAGCCTAGCTTTAAGGTAGTGCTAAAATGAAAACCTACTTTCTCCAATTTAACATCTACAACTTGGAGTATAGCCCTCAATAACTGCAATAAAATGACCAGAGCTAGATTCATCCAGGTAGTACAGCTGCTTTCTTCGAGAAAAAGCTGTTTCTGAATGATGTGCTTCTAAGCAATTGAGGGTAGCAATAAACAGCAGAGTTTTAAGCCAGTTTTACTTGGACTAGTACCTGGAAAAAAACAAAAAACACCAAAAACAAACCAGCATCTGTGTTCACACAAACTATACAAAAGCATAGTCCACTGCTTTCACCCAAGGGAACAAACCAAGAACAGCATAGAAGAAATTTATTAAGATAGTGCTATTTATACAAGTTACTCATGCTAGAAAAAAGCATAAATGATACATGTAAACATTTGTTTACAGAATACTTGTTTTCCTTGTAAAGGTGCAAATGATCTTCATATGTAAACACAAGAATACCGATCCTTAAGGGAAGAGGGACTTTTAAAAAAGTTTTAAATGGCCCATTTATTACTGTAGTGTATTTTTTACTATATTCAAGCACATTAAAATTTGAGTTACATGAATCAAACTATGAAGTTAAAGAACTTAAGATGTCAGCACTGCCTTTTCCACCTCAAAAATTTGCAATCCTCTTACTCTTTTAAAATCAGCCTTAGTAAGGTCCAAATTTTTATCAGGTGCAGAAAATCATTCTTTCATACTAGACAGAAATTACAGTACAAATGTATCAGAACCTTTGAGTCTATAGAGTTTCTCCTTCCTCTCTTCCCAGGTGCCTTCACAGTCACTGAAACATGAGTTACTCGTAGTGCCAGCAAAGAGTCCATCCCCTCCAAACTCTGTAATGAGTTTCCTACATTTTCCTGCTCTAAACACACACAGGCAAAGTGCATAAAAATAATAAAAATCACTAATAGGGAGGGTACCATCTCATCATGGCCAGTGTTTTACAACAGGAATTCTAAAGACACAGATAACAGGCTGAAGGGCAGCTAAGATGCTGGTCTAAACTTTGTTTAGCAGGAACTGACTGTGTGTCTGGCATTCTAGCAAGAACCTGAGAGGTGAACATTGATCTAAGCTAGTCAAAATTAACAGATGACACCTGCATCCCAGCTTCAGACAAGAATTGATATCTAGCAGCCAATGTGAGAAAATGTTTTCTTATAAGTAAGCAACAACTAGTTGTTTCTAGGTTTACACAGGGGAGGGGAGAGACAAAAGCTGAACTTTTGTACCATACACTGTACAGTAAAAAGGCATTAATTTGAAATCCTTTTCACTCTCACCCTTTTTGGGCACTTCACTGATTCAGTTGATAGATGAGAGTTCCAGTTCTACTTCTTGCCTCCAGCAAGACTGAAAAGATACTCGGGGCACCCATCCTCACAGCTCTCCTGTACTCTCTTAAGAGACCCTAAAACATACCACAAGGGCTGGAACCACAATAGCTGGCAGGACATAGCCCTGCCCTAACTGCCAGTTTATCAGAACTCAAATTGCACATGTACATATACATATATATAAAATACATATATATATGCACATATATGTATATAAAAAGCTGGAATTATCACTGTGAGCAGTACAAAGAAAATACATGATACAAATGAAATGAAAAAATAAATATACTCTGTGCACAGAAAAGCTTCCGTGCAAAGGTGGCACCTTGCAGGTCAAGTACTTTTTTGAAGCTCTCTGTAAATAAGGCAAAAGCAAAGTTTTCTGTATCACTTTCCTCTTTCGCACACCACACAGCTGCCACATCCACTGCTCACACAACAGGAGGGAAGGCAGGAAACCCTCCTCCTTGCCAGACTCCCAGTGTAGCATATAGTTTCTACATCAGCACTGTTTACATTACAGTAACTTTTACAGTTTGGTTTATTCAAAAATGTAGACTCTTTAGAAAAAAATACGGACATAAGCAACACCTCTGCTTTTGTCCAGTGGTTTCCTGGGGTCTGACAACATGGTCTCCCATCGGGCACGCTCTCACAGAAGTCATTTTTACGATTCCACAGAAAGAGTCACTGGCAAAGAGTTATACTGGATCTAGACTGTGCATACTAGAGCTGCAAAGAGGTCCAGTGTCAACAAGTCTCTTCAGTTTTTCTTGGAATGAGAAGCATGGGGTCTCCCTCCCTCTTGATGCTTACCATATATGGGATTCACAGTGTGTCATTTTGATAACACCTACTCCTCCTCCCAGCCGCCGATAATTCATACCACCATACAACCTGCAAAGACAAGGTTTCAGTGGTCACTGGTTTATGTCCTTCATGGAGCCATCATGGGAAAGACTGAACCATCCATTGTGAGCACAATTACACCATTGTTAACCTCTGGTTAAAGGGGACCATGACAAGTAAGAGGCTGGGTAGCAGTCAACTTGCGTACTTCCGAGGTAAACAGCAGTATTTGCTCATTCCTTTCTCAAAGCAGAAACTGCTTCTCATTTTGACACTGCACTTTTCTCAAATAATCACTTGCTTTCCCCATCTGGTAATGTACAAGATAGAACTCTAGACTATAGCTGACCTTGGGCTACATTTTGGGTAACACAGGAGCAAGAACAGGTTTAGCTATTCACAATTCAACTAATATTTTTTTATATTTCTAATACCAAAAATTCAGCTGATCCAACCAAGGTACAACACATCTGAAGCACCATCTGTGTTTCTCTGAAATATGTTACCGGAATGGTACCTACGTTTCATATGGAAATCTGATCCCTAGTCACTTCAGCTGCATATCCCCCTCTGTGCCACTGAAGTCTGCTGGCAGAAGTGGGAGAAGCAAGTTTTTAAACAACTCCTACCAATGCAATTTGCTAAATCCAGATTGCATCAGAAGCATTTCTCAGTTGGGTGATGCAAAAAATAACCTTCATAGAGCAAGAAGTTCAGCAAACAAAAGAAAGGACTGCAGATGTTATCAGCTATACTGAATTTAGTGGGAGATAACCACAAGCAAATACATTGAACAACCTCCTAACTTTCTGTGAATGCTAGCCCAAGCAGTAACTCCTAACTCTAGACATGTTATTACTGTCACTGGGAAGAGCTGAAGCCATTCAAGCTAAGGAATATGAAGTACATATTGCTCTCTACTCAACTGTTTTCTCAGCAGTTCAAAAAGCACTGTCCAAAGCTCAACAAACAAGGGGAAATTTCTCCACCGCTTCTTATGACAGCTTATCTCAACAGGAAAGAGTTAGACTACTAGTAGTACTAGGCTGGAAGCAATAAAGACATTAACTTCTATTCCCCACTCCTGCCAGATTACTAAAGCAGCAAGAATACCCATGGGAGCTTGAAATTTTGTACTAATTAGATTTGGGAATAAATACACAAGCAATTGATTTCAAGGTAGTTATTACTAAAAAGGCTATCTTTCCTGTTTCTTTTCCACTCAGTATGTATTTTTGATCAGCAATTTCATATTATTTCTCTCAGCTTATAAATCTGATGACATTCTTCTAATTGCTGTCTTGCAGATTTAAAGGGGAAGAGCATCATATGCTTGAAGTGTTCCGTTTCAGCTCCTTCAAAAGGGTTTGGAAATCAGAGCCTCAGCTTGAAAGAAAAAAATGAGTAGGCTTAATTTTGCATCATGACTGTGAGCTCTTTCTGTTAAGGGCAAGCTTAGTTTTATTGAGCAGCGGAAGAGATTCAGCCCAAAATAAACAGAAGGGGCATCTCTCAGTGTGGTCCATTTGTGTTACACTCAAAAGCAGCACTTAAAAACAAACTAGGTTTTAGTATGACCTTTTGCTTGCTACCCAACAAGCCTGCCAAATCATTTATTTTCTCTGGGTCTCAATAACCTGTACATGTTCCCACCTGCAAAGGATGCAATGCAACTTTATTCATCAGGTGTTGGTTAAATCTGTTGGATACTTAGATGGGAAAACTGTCAAAATCTCACTCCAGTTTTTACTTAAAATGCTGTCAATGACTGGAATTCAAGCAGAAACCTGCAAGAAAATGTTTCTCAACTGCCACAGTCATAGACATGGGGATGCTGTAGGTAAATGACATACTGTGATATTTTTCAAAGTGCAATTCTCTTTCTTACACTTCCATGCAAGCCAACAAGACACAGTGTCAATGTTATGCTGGCTACCACACATGAGCTCTTCACTACAGTGTACATCACACTTCTGATCTGTCTGGGACACCTCCAGCTGGGTGGCAGCAGGTACAGCTGAAG